ACTACCCTGTCCCAGCCCCCCAGCACTTCCCAAGCCTTGGGTGGAAATCCCAAGTGCAGGATAGCACTGCAGGTAAAGGATTCTCTCTCTTGTTTGCTACCTCACAGTGAGCATATCCAAACAGTTGAGCCTGCAGCTCAGCCAAGAGTAGTTTTTAAAATATACATGTAATAGATATATTTTTCTTAAATTTAATAAATAAGTGTATTTTTTAAATATATGGAGAAATAGCAAGAGCAATAATACTGCACTTAGCAGAAGATGGAAACTGGATGATGCTGAGAAGGTGAAGGCACAGAGGAAGGTGCAAACTGCCATGGAGGGGTCAGTGGGGTTGGGAAGCCAGATTTTCAAGGTGCTGTTTAGTTGGCTGCCTAACACTGATGCAGTTTTCATGCTTTTAATAATTTAATGAAATTACTGGGAAAAAAAACCCCAAAGCCATGCGACTGGTTTAAGCCACTTAATTAGTTCCCAGATTCTGAAATCTTCTACTCAAGAGTAGTGGATAACTTGTGAGTTTGGCCAGGACAGGGGCTTTCAGGATTCTGTGGTAATGCAGAGCCTGGTGTGGATTTCCATCAACCACATTAGGGTGTTTTTTTAGGATTTTCACAGGAGTCTCTTGGGCTTAGCTGAAGGACAATGCATAAACAAATGGGGCTGAGCAGCAACATAGCTTAGATTAAAGCCTTGGGTTTAAAGGGATGTAAAGGGATCTGGTCGCTGAACAGCCTAAGGCTTTTCTGGAAAAACCCAACCCAAAATGTCAGGTTTTGTATTTGTAAAGAAGAAATGCAATCATTTCTGTTCAGCCTGCACAACAAAACACTGCCCATAGAAACACATAACGCTGAGGACGTGAGGTATTGGAATTGCTCATAGATCAGGCTGTTACGCAAAACAGCTCTTCAGTGTTCAGAGTGTAAATTAACCAGCCCTTTTTCATTTCACAGAGGGATGATTTTGGAAGAGATCTAAGAATGAAAAACATGCAAAATTATACTTATGACCTTTTCTTAGTTTACACATTGTTATTACTATGTAACAACTTTGTCAGGTGTACAGAGAACAGCTATATTTAGCAAATCCTGACTATATCTCTAACTACTGCACATTACCCAAAAACGGGAAAAAGCAAAATGAGAGGAGAGAGTAAAAACAGCAGCTGAATCACCATGACTCCTCCATCATTGCTCTGATTCAGAATCTATTTTCTCACAAGTATTTTCTTGCAGTACAGTATAGTCTTTTAACATTCTGGGAAGGGTTTCTCTCTTGCTTAAGCAAGCAGCCAACAAAGTGGCAGACGTGACTACAGACTAGGCTTATGTGTACTAGGGCTTGTATTTAATTGTTTTTCTGTATTTTTTGAATATATAGAAAAGATTCTCAAATGGGTATTGCTGTGTAATGCAGGAAGCAGGTCATGTTTAAGAGGCTTTAGTGTAATGTTCATTTAAGTGCAATCTATTTTCAAGCAGGCTTTAATTTCTCAGCTTTCTGTAACACCATGGTATTGGTAATTTTGTTGTTGAACAATTTAGAAAATGTAGATTTGCAAAGAGCAGCAAAAATATTTATTGACAGTGTTTTTAACTGTGGTGCATGGAGGAAAAAATGACATTATCTCTGCCTGTGACATTAATGAGATTATTAGAGAGCTCTGTTCCAGCTGAGAAGGAATACTGGAAAAACTGGAAGAGTTCAGGAAGAAGACCAGAATTATCTAACATCTGGAAACTCATTTTGTAGCAAGTCCTAAGCTCTGATTACTTAGCAAAAGAGGGTTTAAAGGGGGCCTATGAGTATCTGCAGCTGGACAAATACTAATTACTCTGTCATCTAGTAAAAGAAAGAAAAACAGCACCAAAAGATGGGAGAAACTTCACACTAGGAATAAAAAACATAGTTTAAGGAGAAAATTATTAAAAACTGAAACAACTTAGCCTAGAGATGGTGGGTTTTCAGCTGGAAATGGTTCTATGGGTAGAAGCAAACTGTGTTCTTACCACAGATATAACTGAGCATTGGCCAGTTTCAGTGGCTTCTACTGAGGTGCAGGAGATCATAATAGATATTCTATCAGATGATCACTCTCTAACAGTTCATGAATCTTGCTGCCATGATGATTTGCTGGGCATTGCAGTATACTGGAAATGCCTCCACTGAACGCCAGGCAAAAACCTCCTGTCTTCTTTGCAGGGTGTGTGTTTGTACAGAGGCTGCAGCATGCAGTCCAGACAAATTATGTCATCACTGCTCTTGGGTTAGGGCTCAGTTTTGGGGGCAGTCTTGTTCAACATCTTTGTCAGTGATCTGGAAGAGGGGATTGAGTTAATTCTCAGTGAATTTGCAAATTGGGTGGGAGTGTTGATCTGCTTGAGGGTAGGAAGGCTCTGCAGAGGGACCTGGACAGGCTGAATTGACAGGCCAGGATCAGTTGTATGAGGTTCAATAAGGCCAAGTGTTGGGTCCTGCATTTCAGTCACAACTACCCCAGTGAACACTACAGGCATGGGGATGAGTAGCTGTGAAGATGCCCAGCAGAAGAGGAACTGGGGGTGCTGGTGAACAGCTGGATAAACACAGGCCGGTGTGTGCCCAGGTGGCCAAGAGGACCAACAGAATCCTGGCCTGCATCAGGCATGGCCAACAGGAGTAGGGAGGTGATTGTGCCCCTGTACTCAGCACTGATGGGGCTGCAGCTCAAGCACTGTGTTCAGTTCTGGGCCCCTCACTGCAGGAAGAACACTGAGCATGTCCAGAGAAGAGCCACCAAGCTGGTGAAGGGTCTAGAGAACAAGTTATACAAGCGGCAGCTGAGGAGAGTGGGGATGTTTAGTTTGGAGGAGGCTGAGAGGGGACCTCATTGACCTCTGCAACTACCTGAAAAGAAGTTGTAGGGAGGTGGGTGTTGGCCTCTTCTTCCAAGTGAGTAATGACAGGACCAGAGGAAATGGCCTGAAGTTGTGGCAGGGAGGTTTAGATTGGACATTAGGAAGAATATCTTTACAGAAAGAGTCGTCAGGCAATGGAACAGCCTACCCAGGGAGGTGGTGGGGTGACCATCCTTGGGTGTATTCAAGAAATGTGTAGATGAGGAACTTCATGGCATGCTCTAGTCGCTGAGATTGTAGGTTGGGGTTTTTTGGGGTTTTTTTGTGGATATTATTTGGTGAAATGTGTGTGGTGTTTGTATTTGTTTGGGATTTTGTTGTGTGTGTGGGTTTTTTGTTGTTGTTGTTTTGTTGTTAGTTGTGGTTTTTTTTGGTGGTGTTTTTGGTTTTGATGGTTGAACTCGATGATCTCAGAGGTCCTTCCAACCATGATGATTCTGTGACTCTGTGATCTTTGGAAATACTGAACATAGTAGAGACTGCACAATGATATGGATGCATTATGCACTCTCTATATAGGTACATAGATATTTTTTCTATACATAAAATGTATGTGCATAATTATATAATGTAAGCATAGTTTGCACTCTATTTATAGAACATTACTGGATTTTGCACTTTTTCCAGCTAAACATCTCCTCTTAAGGGCAGATCATTGCTTGGAGAGAACATTTTTGACTGCTGATCTCACGGAGCTGTAGGGTTTTTCTGGTCACTTGCTAATGAGTTCCCAGAAGAACTTCACTCATTCTGTTTGAAGCAAAATCTGAAATGGCATCTTTTCTACCATGGTGTATTTCTGCAATATGCTACTACTGAAGCCATTTGGGGGGAACAAAAATATTTTCTTTTTCATTTTTTTCCAAGCCCAGATGGTGTTGTCTCAAGGTGCCACAAAAGGCAACATACCAGCTGCTGTAGCCAGTGCTCTGTAGACTGGAGTAGAGCAATTAAGATAAAATAGTTTATTAATTCCAGGTTTCTTTATAGTTTTCTCCAATTGTTTAAATTCACACTGCTGCACATACACTGATAATGAGACTGAAAGTGCAATGTGCTCTGATGATGCCTCCTCACAGAGCTGCCCATCTTCCTCATCCCCCCATGCCTGAGCATCCTCTGAGTGCCCTCACAGTCTGGGCTCTGCTGTGACTCAGCCCAGCCCTTACGTGGCTCTCACACACTGTGGCCTGGTCCTGTGATGCTTTAAGGGCTCAAAGTTATTTCGGGGGCTTTTGTGATCTGCAGATGCTGCAGTCCTGACCCTGAGTGTGTGCCCATGGGCTATGATGTGACGTGTCTCTAAAATGTCTATATGGACATGGGCATCCCTGGTGTTCTTAGCAGTAGGCACAAATAATCCCTGTGTGAGAAGGAGTGACTCTGCCAGCCTAAGGGTGCTGCTTTTGCTGGCGCTATTGCAGTTCTGCAAGTCCATTGCCTTGTTTTCCCACTTTTTAACCCACTGTCTTCCTCTGAGGGGAGCTGGGAGGTTTATGTGCCTGTTGGTGGAGACCTGAAGTCCTGGGGTCCTAAATAGTGATTGCAGTTGTTCTCCATTTGAGTTGAAATAAGTTGTTGTCCACACGTGAGGTCAGGTCTCTGGGTGGTCGCTATTGCTCAGATGTGCAATGACATCTCCCTGTTCTGGATAGTTAAGATTACAGCAGAGAAAATGTAAGGAAAAGGTCCTGACTAAGGACAACCTGTGAGGGAATGCTGACTGCAAACCTGGCCAGGCTGCAGAGGCTTGGCAGGGCTCCTGGGGGTGCCCTGCTCTCCTGGGAGGGGTGCTCCGCCAGTCTTTCCTGTGTTCGTACACGGTGGGCAACAAATTCTTAGCCACACTTTCCTAGTTGCATCTGGGTTAAACACAGGATGGTTGGCTCTGGTCTCCTTTCAGTGTTGGTGGCCCAAACTTGTCATTTCCTCTTCTGGTGGAAGTATACAAGGACAAGGAGATAGAAAGTCTAAATAAATCTTCATGAGAGAGTTGCCAGCACATTACGAGTGAGGAATTTGGGATGCTCCAGACACTAAGGCAGGATTCAGCACTCTGTGTGTGTGAATCTGCACCATATGAGTGCTTTTGTCTTCCAGATGCCAGGCACAGCAAGGCATGACCGAGAGATGGCAATCCAGGCAAAAAAAAATTTGTCCAAAACCACTGACCCTCTAGAAAGACTTCGCCTGAAGTGCTTAGCAAGAGGATCTGCAGGCATCAAAGGGCTTGGCAGGTGAGTCTGAAAAGTCAGTTCCATTATTCAGCCTTATAGTTTTAGCTGCAAGAAACTCACAGGCTAAGCAGGGGCCAAAACCTGGTTCCTGGTTCCAGTGCAAATGCCACAACTCACAGGGCCTGTGCTTGGGGCTCCTATGTTTTGGGAAACAGGACTGACCTGCTTGCCTGTTGGAGGACCAAGGACCATGAATTAATTGCTCAGAGGAAGTTGCTTCCTTGAGACCCAGAACAGCTGCTGGCAGAGAGAGGGGAAGAACATAAAACGTACCTTTTGCTTTGGTATTTTCTCTAATTAATTTATATATCTCAATACTGGGGATTTTGTGCTTCCTTTCCTTTGGGGTATTATTCCCCTATGTGTAATTATCTATTAGCTGTCTCGTTTATGGGAGCCATCTAAATTTTTTCTGCACTGCCCCTGAGAGAGTGGGTCAGCCCACCCCAAGGAAAGCAGAGCTGCACTGCAGCCTGAAAACCCTCCTGGACCCCACAAATCATAGAGGGATCCTAGGTGACCACCTGAAGCTTCATCTCTTTGCCCAATTCTTAGATAGCCCAAATGTATAACGAATTGGAAGATCCCTTGAGTTAAGCCAGCCTTCATCTCCTTTCACTTCAGCTGTATAATATTCAGGCAGCCAACCTAAGCAAGTCCTCTCTGCCATCAGTAAGTGGGGAGGAGGGTGGGGAAGTGTTTGTTAAGGGTTGTTTGGGTGTTTTTTCCTCTTTTGTTTTTTATCTCAATAAATTGTCCCTGCGCTCCAGCACTGTGCTAAATGACTGCACCATTCTCAAAGTTATCCTAATACAAAAATTATCCTAATATTGCATGTTTTCCACAGAATGTTTCGGATTATGGATGACAACAACAGCAGGACCCTTGATTTCAAAGAGTTTGTTAAAGGATTAAATGATTATGCTATGATGATAGACAAGGAAGAAGCACAGGAAATTTTCCAGATATTTGATAAAGATGGCAGTGGAACTATTGATTTTGATGAATTTCTTGTTACACTGAGAGTAAGTTTGGGAATTTATGTTATTACTGAATTAAACGTAGAAAATCATCATTAGGTGAACAGAAAACACTGCACAGTTTTTCACTTTAGTAATCTGCAAAATCTGCATCTCTATGTTAAAAGTCAGTAATTCTTTAGAAGTTAATATATTCTGTTTCCATCTAAATATGCTGCAGGGGAAAATCACCCTAAACAGCTCCTCTGTGGATGAGAGAGCTCAGAAGCCAACATGTCTCTGCAATTTATTGGCAAGGCATAAGGCTCCTCACAAGTAGAATAGTTACAAATAAATGGTTGTGTTTTGGGAATTTTTTAAAATTAATTGCTCCCTTTATTTAGGTACCTAAGCTGCTGTATTGCAGTCTGGGTACCTATGCACATCAGCCCATTAATCTCACTTATTTGTCACTTTCGTGATGTATCTCCTTATAACATGAACTAATCCAGTGGTGGCTTCCTTTAATCAACCACAGTGTGAAGGATTTTGGTTGGAGCCTCTTTGCTCTGCTGAAGTCTAAAAAAATTAGGAGGAAAAATACTGACGATTAGAGTAATTAGTAATTACTTTCCAGAAATATTTAAAATTAGTAGGACAGGAACTGTTCTATGTAGGTTTCTGTTCTATTACCAGTCCATCATATTGATAGACACTGAATAATACATTGCCCTTCCAGCTCATGGAGAATGCTCAACAGACCGTCAACAGTTTGTTGTCCCAGGTACCTTGAAATAGGTTTGCTTTTGAACAGCAGCTGTTACTTGAATTTGGGCTAGTCAAGCAGTTGGCAGAAATAAACTGATCCTGTTAATTTTTCTTTACAGCCTCCCATGTCAAACGCAAGGAAAGAAATCATCATGCAGGCCTTTAAGAAGTTAGATAAGTCTGGAGATGGTGTCATAACAATTGAAGACTTACGGGGGGTGTATAATGCAAAGCATCATCCCAAATACCAAAATGGAGACTGGACAGAAGATCAAGTTTTCAGGGCCTTTCTGGATAATTTTGATTCACCCTATGACAAAGATGGGAAGGTAAGTGAAACACTTAATGTCAAGCCATGAAATCACCATATGACTTAAATTATTTAATGTGTTGCAGTACCAAACATGCATTTGCATCACATTTATGGGGATGTCTCCAGCAAAATGGATGCATAACCTCTATACAGGACTGTTGGTGCAGTTTCCTTACACATTTGGAGACAAAGGGGCTCTGCAAGGGTAGACATGAGATTGCATTTACAGGCTTGTAGCCTTAATGCTCTACTTTTATAGGTTACTTTATATCTTTTGAGTAACCTACACAATTGCTGATTTTAAAGATCTGCATAAATTGGAGGATTTTTAACTTCTTGGAACAAATATCAGGATTTAGTTCAAAAGTAGATTCCATCATATCATAATGTATCATATCATATAACACAGTCATACTATATCATGGTTTTCAGTTGGAAGGGACCATCTATTGGATCATCTATTTCCAACCCCCCTGCCATGGGCAGGGACACTTTCCACTAGACCAGGTTTCTTAAAGCCCTATCCAACCTGGTGAAATACTTTACAGTTAGCACTTTTTCAGTGTAATTGCTGAGACCCTTGACTTGGAAATCACTCTGTAATAGAGAGGGAGGAAGGGGGTGTCACCAGCCACGTGCCCTGAGGAGCCACTAGCTGGGGCAGGGCTGTAGCCCCTTCCTGACCTCTTCCTCAGCCCTCTGGTGCGGGTGGAACATCTGGGCACCCTCTGTGATGATTCTTACACATCTGCTTTGTAACCATCTCCAAGCCAAGAATTCTTTGTTTCCCTTTGTTGTGTGTCTGCTAACTACTTTGGTCTGAAGTTGTGCGTGTCTGACCAAATCACAGATCTCAGCTGCTCATATGGTGATATTCTCAGTTTAAGGTGTTCATAATAACAAACTAGCTAAGGTCTCACCAGTGCTTTGTTGGATTTGTTTAACAATTTGCACTTCTGAGGTGGCAGCTGGGTTTTTTTGGC